AATTTAAATACGCATGTAAAATATAACTATTCACAGCAAATTAATATTTTTTTTCCCTATTTAAATATTCAAAAGAACGTAACAGCCGTTCACAGTTGCCGCGCGGTGTAAGGCAAGAAATGTCTTCGGCTTCTCAAACACCAGGATTATGTGTTCGAACCCCACTCGAAGAATGGCTGTCCGTCTGAGCTTATTTCTTGTCCTGTGTAGGCAGCGGCTGATCCCCGCCCCAAGGTGTCCTACCGACTGTGTATAGGATTCTTAATTTCGGTACTGATTTTAGGTGGGAACAGGCCTAAGGGCCTGATCTGTCAGGGTGAACGAATAAGTCAGAAAGATTCCCCCACCCTCATGATGTGTGACTAGTCCACTTGGTACGTCGGACGCTATTTGTCCTATTGTACAAACCCAAGATGATAGACGATTATTATTATTATTATGGAGCAATCGGTGGAATTCGAAGTGGCAGGGAGAACCTAAGTACTCGGAGAAAACCTGCTCCAGTGCCACTTTGTCTACCACAAATCCCATATGACCTGACCTGGGCTCGAACCCGGACCGCCGCGGTGGGAACAGAAAGATGTTACTATTCTTGTAATACCGACCAACAGGCACACTTCAGAAACTTCATACCTACATCCCAGTAAGTCTGAGAATGGGATATGGTTTCTCCTGCCTGGAAGTATAGAAAAAAAAAACCATCTGCCGAGTGGGGAAAATTTACGCATATTTCTTAATCCTGTAAATATAAGTTTTCAATTCATTTCAAATATGTACATACGGTAAAAGGACATTAACGGCGATACAATGAATTCCGTTTTCGGTTTTCCAGATCTTGTTTACAGACGTTTGGTGAGACTCACTGAACGAGGAATCGGTCCGTCACACAGCCTCTACTTATGTGGTGGACAAAACGGCACTGGGACAGGTTTTCTCCGAGTACTTGGGTTCCCCTGCCAATTCGCATTCGACCGACTGCCCCATGTCCACCTGTAATCCAGGGCTTGTAAAATAGGGTAATTAGTGACAGGCGAACAAGTGGCCTCAGTCTCACCCCACCTTAAGAAACTAAAAAACAACTACATCGAACAACTCAAACGTAGAAGAACACATATATACCCATACCTCGAGTGGTATTCGAACTCCACATTCCTCAGTTTAAGCGGAAGAAAAGAGAATGCGTGTTATACCGCGTTGTCAGCGTAGTCAACGGTAGACTGCTAAATCAAAACCATAAAACGTTGCATCGCAAGTGTAGACTGTAAAAAAATTGAAATATTTATGTAAACGGCCTTTCGTCATATGTTTAATAATTCTGCTTTATTCTAAAATGTTCAGTAGAGCACTGCATTAATGCTCTTGTAATGTGGGTAGCGGAAAGTGTTGGTCGGTCTGCAACCAATACAACAGTAAACATGCAAAAGAACAGAACATATGGCACAAGTATATCGAAGGACGAAAGAAACGACGACATGAACAAATGTCATTGCATTTTAATATGCTACAGCTTGTATTTGAAGTTTAAATTTTAAAAAATTAATCTTGAAAACATTGACGGGTGATAGTGAATTATAAAATATAGCAAACTACCAACTCACGGATAATACTACTGTCTGATTATGGCCAGAATGTTGATCGAAACATGTCATAAAATAAAACGGGTCAACACGTGAATGCAAGCGATATGCATCAAAACTACATTACCTGAGACAAAAACTAAATGTTGCAAAGTAAGTACTGAAGAAAAAAATCACAGGTATTCATTCCACTACCGTAACAGGGCACTAAAATATAGAATCGAAACTTGTTAAACTTGGTTCGCATTTACGTCTCAGTAGCAGCAGTGTTCTGTTTCTCTCTGACTGGGGATATAAAAATATAGCTCAGATTTCAAACTGGACATAGAATGATGAGATTTTACAAAGCCTATAGCAATTACAAACTTTGGAACTTTCGCAACACAAATATTAAAATTACAAAACTGAATTTCCATTAAGTTAGCTTACAGAATTAAACGTTCTCTCTTCTCTGACATGACGCCGTGCTGAACGTCTACCGAACTACATGGCGTCACATCCTAAGTGCTTCCAAAGTTCTTCTACATAGTATATATAAATTCAGTTCGTACTTCACAGGAAACACATTACGTCGCCGCTACAAAGCCCAACCGGGTAATGCTGTTTAGGGTAACAATCGCTGTTTATTGTGAGAACCATACGGAACACACAAATACATTCTGTGGGCAGATTCCAGAGTTTTAGTGTGTTAAAGAACGTGGTAAATATAGTAACCACTGGGCTTTAAAGGGTTAGAGAGATTCTGGTCTCTGACAATGACACTGACCGTCCCCTGAGTGCACAGAAGGGAAGTTCTCTCTCACTCACTCATTCATTGAGCTGAGCCCTTCTTCCCATCTTAGCAAGCTGCCAATTGTACAGCTACTCTAGAACTTCCAGCATTTTATGGAACCCGAAGGTTCATTACCGTGTTCACCAGAGCCATCCACTGGTCCCTATCCTGAGCCAGATCAATCCATTCCATATCATCCAATTCTACCCCTCTAAGATCGATTTTAATATTGTCCTTCTCATGGATATTAATAAATTAAATGAAACTATAATTAGATTCTCCTGTTGGTCCAGATGTGCTGATACGACCGTCCGTCTTCCCATACACAAGAAACAGGCGAGATCCATATTCTTTTATTCAGTTTCATACTTGAATTACATTCTTCAGTTCTTAACATCTACACTATTTTTCATTGTTGCGACAGAAGAGATCGCCTAGCAATCAAAATTTTAAACATTTACTCAGTGCCGTAGTATATAGAATGTCCACATGCGATCTGAGTGTACGTGTATTGCCTTATTAAAGTGTATTTTCACGGCGTCGATGATTATATCGTATAAACCGAAATGTTGCTATAACATTTTGTAATGACTTATAGTATCGAAACCCATCATCACCAGTTCTTAAGCTCAATCACGGTAACGGACAGACAGATATGATACCTCTTATACTCGTTAAGTTTAAACACCGTAATCCAGAGGAATAATAAATCAATCCGAATTTAAGTTACAGGAACGATCAAACGTTTCAGTTTGCTTGAAAGCCTGATCCTAACATTACAGGCATGTAATTAATGCATTGCCTGATAGCGAAATTCTTAAGACTTTGTAAAAATATACGAAATAAACATTTTATGTTATACAGGGTAATTCATGCGGAGGAGGACCCGAACGAATAATTAGAAACAATACAATAATATACGGACTAAAACGACACTTGTGAACACTGTGTATGTACTTTGTAACACTGACCCGGTGCCCGCCTGCCCGGTTCACGACATTTCCGCAACCATTCCTGCCATGCGGGCATGAAGCGTCGTTTCGGGTTGTATCTGCAGGAGGCAGGAAACAAATTTCAGCATCTTCTGTAACCCAATTACCTCCACGTCTATCAAGGTATGTACTCACCAATCTTCGTCCTCATATATAGGTAAATTATTGCGTGATTTATACAGTCATTCGGGGCTTTCTTGGGGAGAACCGTCCCGTGCATTTACATGACAGGACAAATGTCATTCTAACTCGTGCTCGAGAACCTATGGAGGACTCATTAAGCTTTCTCGGCCCATCTGTGCATAAGCATGTAACAACTCGAGAATCGATGAGAAGATATGCACGAAATTTGATAGCAGGGAATTTTACAAAATATTGTGAGACATTTACAATTTCCTTTATATCTAAGGTATTTAATAACAACTTCACATAAAGACATCTGCAAGTAATTCGCTAAGTACTCATCAGTGAGACAATTGTTTGGAACGAGTATTATACACGTACAGAGAAATGAAAAATGTATTTTACGGAGAACATATTTTCTCCCTAAATCTTAACAATATCGAAGACAATTAAACAAAATATATGTTATGAATATATTACCGAACTTTCATATTAAGCAACCGACCATGGCCTCCAGAACATAACGGCAGTTAAAAAATAAAAGAAAGTCGTTATTGCGTTTATGCCGCATTAAAATCATACTTGTTTCATCCTTCTAATGTAGCATTCCGCTAAAATATGATTTTAAAACTTTCATTAAACAATTTATATATTTATTTCCGTAACAGTAAAACGCGAAATCCTAACCCTTTATTCATCCTATAGGCTAAAAAAGTCTTATTTCTCGCCAATTTTTTAATATAACGTAACCGTGAACAGATGCATGTGAATCTAATATTTGTTTACTCTAATGGAAGGGCTCACTGTGGTGTCATTTCATTCCTAATTCCTCTTACCGAAAACGCCTGTCAGATTTACAGTGTATGCGTTTACATCCTTGTTTAAATAGAGAAATTATCAAGGCTCTTATGTATACAATTCAACTAAATATCTCACACGTTTCACATTAACTCTCTAGTTCAGAAAACAGTCTGTCAACGCTGTTTAATCAAATAAACGCTGTTCATACAGAAAATCATAAGAAATATACAAATACGTTCTACGAAATAATGTAGAGGTTTTGTACACCAAGGTGTTACGTAGGGTACCACTGTGCTTTAAAACATTAAGGACTAAATCCCTTCTAAATAATATATATATATACAGTTCGTACCTCACGGGAAACAGGTCTCCACTACAAATCCCAGCTGGGGAAAATGTCTCTGTTTATTGTGACAACCATACGGAACTCATAAATGCCATTTGTGGACAGAATGCCAGAGATTTAGTATGTTAAAATAGGTGGTACATATATCGACCACTGGCCTTTGAAGGGTTAAATGGTAAAAATCGTCTGTTCTGAACCATTCTGTGTTTAGATCTATCTCCTTCAATCAACATACGCAAAACTACAGCAGAGGTGGGAAGAGACAACGTTTTATGCACCCAGTCAACACCCTCATATGTCCTCACATCTTCTTAACACGTCTGTTTCTAAACAAGAGAAAACTAGTATATAATAAGTAATGTTGGTAGGCCGGAGACCCGGGTTCTTACCTTGGTCGAGCAGGGATGCACATAAGCTGACTGGCCGTGCCCTCGTGTTCCTGCGACTGGGTGGCTGCAGATTCTGTGCTTGCTGTGAAGAAAGCAGACGAGGCGGTCAGCGAGACGACGTCTGATTGTGAGGAAACCTGCAGCGCTCTGCTATAGGGTTGAGGGGCTGGGATGCAGAACCGCGCCTGCGCTAAATAAGGGACACCTGTTATATGACATGCAGCGGTTTTAGGGGAAAGGGAGGACGAGACTCGTGTTTTTAATAATATTATTGTTGTTACTTTACCCAATATAGTACAGATGTATCTCATTTAACGCAACCCGTATGAAGTTAATTCGTTATAACGCTCTCCATTCCTGTAACAGTTCCCGTAAGAAAATGAAGACTGGACGGAACCTCACAAGCGGCACCTCTCTCTGGAGAATGCTGATTTTGTGGAAATAAATTAACCTCAGAGTTACTGACGTGTTTCATGATTGCGATCAATGATTCCATGAATAAGGTAAAGGTAAAGTTGTTAATGTGCTTAACCATTTAAGCACCACGCCATAAAGGAGTATGGGGGAGTGGATATATAGATCCACTTTTTCTTGACCTCGGCACTAGTTGGAGGTGAGTGTCCAGCTTCATGTTCCGGCCGCTTTATCACCAGGGAAAGAGACTCCGGTGCTCATTGGATACGAGGCTGGGTGGACAGAAGAGCCAGTTTGGACGACGTGGACAAGGGAAAATTCTTGACCCTACCGGTACCAGAACTCCGACCCGTCGGACGTCCACCCCGTAGCCAGTCGCTGTACCCACTACGCTATCCCGCATCTTGATGCCATGGAAATCATATCTGAAAACGACGCGAATTTTGAATAGAGCGCTAGAGTGAAGCGATAGGATATCCTGCCACAGCGATATGCTTCGGAAGGAGAGGTTTCAGGCTAGGCAGGCATCCAGCATTTAATGTCTTCCTCCACTAGTAAGCTGTCAGTTGCTTGCAAAGAGAGCCACAGCCGGGCACAGCTTCCAGTACAGCCAATGTTGGTACATTATACACGTTCTGTAAGGAATTCTAAATGAATTAGTGACTTTAAACATATATGCCCATTTTATTCACTTCATAACTGTAATAAATTACTATTTTAGGAACGCACTTCATAATTACGATCACAGTGGCCCCGCGATCTAAGGTATGAACTGTTTTTGTCCGCTCAAACACTGGGATTGTGGGTTCTAAACCCACTTGAGGCATGGATGTCTATGCACGTTTATTCTGTGACTGTGTTCTGTTTGTAGGTAGCGGCCCCCCCCCCGTCAAAGGAGTCTATAGAAGATCAAGAAACTGAAAAAGCGGCCAAGGTCATACAAAGTGCTGTAGATAGATAGATAAATAGATTCCGTAGCTACTGTAGAAAAGGTAAAGCTATCGCTATAACAGACCTTGGAGGCCCATAGGCTTGTGGGACGTCGGGGCTCCCACATTTTGTAGACAATCGAATCGCAAAGGCAGTGAGGACGTCAGGCTTACGCGCCGGACGCCCTTCACCACCAGGAAGATTTCTGGTACTCATTTCTGTCTAAGGCTGGTCGACCCCAGGGCCTTCTTGCGGGTAGATGACTTAGGTAAATTAAAAAAAAAACAATGACCTCTTCAGGAATCTAACCCGCGACCTTCCGGCTTGTAGCATAGTGCCTCAACCAACTACACTACCGCGTCCCCCCTTTCGTAGCTACTGTACTAAAACGACCTCTCGTAACACTGACTCTGTTGTCAGCTCCCTCGCTTCCGGCAACACACTCACTGCGTTAAACGGGGTATGTCTCTATACGTATTATGCTTAAACACTGAAACTAGAAAAAATAAAGCTATCTCTGTTCTTAATTAGGCACCACTTCATAAAGACTTATGACAGAACGGAGGTATAGCTCCTCACACTCTTGGCCTCGGCAGTAGATGTACGTGTGAGTGGCATTCTACGGCTGGGAAAAGAGACCCCGTCACCCGGTGAATAGGGCAGGCTCCATAATCTGTCTGGAAACTCTAGAGAGGAGAACACTCTCTTGTCTGTGAAAGGAATCGAATTCCGATTCCTTGGTCATCCAGCCCAAAGCTTGGTCCCTACGCTGACTCTACTGCCCTGGCTTTCTTTCTGAAAAGAGATTCGCCCAAGTGTTCTAAAATAAACGATAGGCTACGTGATTTAGTATCAAACCTAGAAGATATACGTATAGTTCAACCAACAAATGAACACCACGGAACCGAGCCCTTCTCAAGGAGCCGGCAGTCGTTAAGCTAGTCAGGAATTTCCCAACATTTTATGGAACCCGAAGGTTCATTGCCGTCTTCACAAGGGCCCTCCACTGGTCCCCATCCTGAGTCAGATCAATCCAATCTATCCCAACCTGATCCATTTTAATATTGCCCATTCACCTACGAGTATGTCTTGGTCATCACAGTGGTCTCATTCCATCTGGCTTTCCCACCAGTATCTCCCCATTCGTGTTACATGCCCTTCCCACCTCACTCCTCTTGACTTGATCATTCTAATTACACTTTGAGAAAAGGACAATTCATCATGAAGTTCCTCATTGTGCAGTTTTCACCAACCTCCCGTCACTTCATCTCTCTTCAGTCCAAATATTCTCTTCAGCAACCTGTTCTCAAACACCCTCAGTCTGTGTTCCTCCCTTAAAGTCAGAAACCAAGTTTCACACTCACCTATACAGAACCACAGGCAAAATTATAGTTCTGTATATTCTAATTTTTAAGTTTTTGGACAGCACACGAGAAGACAAAAGGTTCTGGACTGAAAAATTCCACCCTATTTCTCTAACATTGACCTTACAACTCTCCTTCCACCGAGACGGTGCCATAGTTCATGGTCTCCGGCTTCCCACTATGGCGGCTCGGGTTCGAGCCCAGGTCACTTCGTGTGGGATCTGTGGTGGACCAAGTGGTGCTGTGGCACTTTTCCTCCAAATACTTCCGTATCCCCTACCAATTCTCATTCCACTGACAGCTCCACAGTCACCATCATCTATCATCCGGGCTGGTACAATTGGCCAATTAATGGCCGACATACCAAGTGGATTCAGTCTCAGCCCACCCCACGAAATTAAAAAAAAAGTTGCTCCCACCGACGTCTACGCCTTTCTAGCAGTCTCTTTCCTCACATGCATTACTATTCTCCCCATCCGTGCTACATGCTCTGTCCACTTAATTCTTCTTTACTTGATTTTGGGTTCAAAGGGCCTAAACGTTTAAAAGCTAGAAGTAGTAGGTGCAGGGTAGGCAGTCACCCTGTGGAAAAGTATAAATGCAACACAACTACAGCACGATGAGGTGGGCTGTTCGACATCTTGAGAGGACCAAACGGTAGATAAACTTCCGTTGATCTCTGTCCGTTCTGTGGGGAGGGAGAGAAAGAGTTTCATTCTGTTAGAAGGTTCTGATAAGAGGCAGTGTAAAAGTGAAGGCGTTGGAATAGTTAGAAGTGGCTTGAGACAGAGGCTGCGAGATTCTGATTTTCTGAATTAATGTCGAGCTATGATTGGGAGAAAAAAAATAGTGGCTTGATGCGGATGGGGCTTCAATTTGATGAATATGAGTAGGAGGGGCTGGAAGAGAGATATGAAGTACGTGTAAAACTTAGAAGTTTGGAGCCAACTAAGCATTTGTTTAAAGACAAACGAAAAGTAACCAGGAGAACCCGTGTCGAGACGGCCGATTGCAGGACCTTCCGGATGCATTACTGCCATCTAGCCGACAGTCCAGCAAACAAAAGAATGTGCGAGATTCCCCGGCGATTCTATAACATATATGATGATGCTTTATTGGTAATTGGAACTACAGGTCACGTGTAACAGCGCACAGTGGTGACTGAATCTCTGTGGATTACATTCTCTTTTCTAGATTCACGTTCTCTCGCGGACAGCAGAGAAATCGCCCCTGAAGCCTTAGCCACATTCAGCAGAAAAAGAATGTCACACGTTTATCGGGATTTCTGTCTTTCTTGGTATTTCTCTTCGTACTCTATACACATCACAGATGATACGAAGAGCAGGCTTTATCTAAACGCACGATGTCGCTACGGGAAACAGACTATAGGATAGGCATGCGGTTGTACGCTAATCAATCTTCATCACAACTTGCTTTGAACGCATGAATGGCATTAGTGCAACTGTTTTATTCATTCCAAATTGGAGCGCTAAATATTGGAACCTTGTCTAGTTTAAACACTGAAGGCTGCGGATTAATGAAGCCCAATGGTAACTATATGTACCACCCGCTTTAACATACTAAAAACTCTTAATTCTGCCTACACACAGCATATTTGTGTGTATCGTATGGTTCTCACAATAAGCAGCTACTGTTTCTCTAAACAGCATTAACCGGTTGGGCTTTGTAGCGCAGACGTAATGTGTTTCCTATGAGGTACGGACTGAATCTTTATAGACCACGTCTGTTCCGTATGATCCTCACATAATATATTCAGCTTTATTCTTATGTGAAGATTTGTTATGTTTGTCCTAAAAACTCTTACGACTGGCTAAAGCAATGATAATAATGAACTCGTACTGTTCCAGTTAATTCGAAAGCTGAAATTAACATTATGTGAGGATCATTGCACTGCATGCCTCACATGCAGCCCTCCCATTGTTAACATCAAAATTTCGCCTTAATATAGCCCTCCCAACGTTAGCAAAAACAAACAAACAAAAATCAGATTATATGCTCTATCTTTACCAGAAGGACAAGCGGGCACTGCCTGGGAACCTTCAAAACTGAAATATAGTTTCTTCCCCCCCCCNGCAGACGTAATGTGTTTCCTATGAGGTACGGACTGAATCTTTATAGACCACGTCTGTTCCGTATGATCCTCACAATAAACAGCGACTGTTTCCTTCAACAGCATGAACAGGTGAGGTTTTTGTACCGGTGATGTGATGTTTTTCCTGAGCCGGTCACAGTAGCCGTACAGTCTAAGGAATTGACTGTCTTCGCTCGCTAGGACCCTGAGATCGTTGGTTCGAATCCCACTCAAGATAGGGATGTTTGGTGTGTGTATGCGTTTATTCTGCGTCTGTGTTGT